AACTCTCTGCTCGTAATTCTAATTTAAGTGATTATGGAATTTTTGGAAAGCTCATCAAATTCCCTTCATTTTTCAAATAAACTTTGTTTTCTGCATGTTTATGATGATGAAAATGGGTGTAAACGAACTACAAATTTGATGAGCTATGAGGTGGAATTTTGAGCAATATGGAACCTTAATTGCTGCGTCACAACCATCCAAACTTCCATTTATGAAAGGTGAGTTCTATTATATAGAACATGGGTAGGATTGGGGATTGGTTTTCATGTTGAATGGGTAGTGAGAAATTTCCTGCAATGTGTCAGTGTTTGGATTTTGATTGACCCCTTGTTGTTGCATGCTTGAATTAGTGAATGAATAGGATATAACCTAATACAATCTGTGTTGGATGATGTGAATACATGTTTTAGAGTGCATGAATGAGATTTAGAACCCCAAATTAGTATGCTGCAACTTCTGGTTTTTCCGTGTGTAGCACACCGCGCTTAGCACGCGGGACGGCGCTTAGTGCGCTTGCCTGGGGAAGAGTTGATGCACTTTCTTAGGGCGCACTAGGGCGCATCTTAGCGCGTTCCCATGAACAAAGTTTTATATGTTTATTCCCCTAGTGTAGTTCAGTTTCGTAGTGCAAACTGGATGCCTCCTTAGTCTTCTGTTACTTATGGAATGTGTTGTGAAATGCATGATAATTCCATATGACCACTCTTATGCCATTTGTAATTTTATGTAGATGCTTGAATAATGCGTTATGATGAAAAATTATATAATGTGATCATTTCTTATATTCTCGTTCGTTCCGGTTGAACGCTCAGAGAAGTTTGCCTGCATAGTTTGATGCTATGTTACGATCGTTTGGTTTTTGGTGTCGTTTATTCCAGTTGAAAATTCGGGTGTGTCTTAACATGATAAAGATGACACATGTGTTGTTTTATTTAAAGTTAAGACTTTATGCATATGTACATGTTGAGATATGTGTGAAATTTCATTGTACTCCTCCATTTCAGACTCATATGGTCTATACTCAGTGGATATATTGTGACTAATGGCATACTCATGAGCATTTGAATTTGACATTTCCCAATGGGAATGATCTGGTGTATACCCATTGGTGGGAATGGACACCCGAGCATAATCACCACTCTCAATGGGAATGATCTTATGTATACTCATTGATCGGTGTAAGATATGTGTATACTCGATGGAATGATCTAGTGTATACTCATCTTGTTACCAGGGAAATGTTAGTGTTGATGGGAATGATCTAGTGTATACTCATCGTGTTACTGCGAAAGGAATTTTCTCTAGCAAGAAAACATCGGTGTTAGGTATGGTGGGGTTGTGATGCCATGTAGGTAAGGTCACTCAATTACTCACCCCTAGTGATGCCACATAGGCAATATCATTAGGCCCTCGTCGGTGGGCTGGTACAATCACGGTGACGTGGTTGTACTAGAAAATGCATACTTGTTTGATGTGTGCTTGACTATGTTTGATGTTATCTCATCAGTTAGTCAAGGGACTTCTGATGGGAATGCTACCCGTTTGTGTATGTTTGCACCAGACCGTCAGGAAACCCTGAATCTACATATGATCCGCTTTAATTATATGTAACTTGTAGAACCGAGTGAACCCATAAGATATAGGAACTCACTGAGATTTAGTAATCTCACCCTAATCCTCTTATTATTTTCAGGAACATGTTTTAGGTAGAAGATTTGTTAGATGGTCATTATTAAAGACTGCTGATGAGTAGATGCCAGGAAGACTGATGATGAGTAGATGGCAGGAAGACCTCTTCAGAACTTATCTTTTCGCTATGCATTGTTATCAATAAGTTTTGTATATATATTTTATCGTTAGAGTTGAATTGTATACAAAAATTTAGTCTTGTCAATTCCTGCTTTTGTATGTTTTTATGTACCATTATAGCATCACTACATATTATTTTAGATGTATATGTACGGGGTGTTACACTTAAGTAGAAGTATCTTAATTATTTTACTAGTTGCACGCACATTGACTAAGAAACAAAATTATTGATCAAAATAATGATCTACAAATTACTACCTTCTTGTGTTTTCGACTTTTTTGCAAATGCTGCTTCATCTTTTTTATCTATGGTTTCAACAAGTTTCATCAACATAACTCCACATCCATTTTTCTTTCAAAAAAATTTATTACATAAATCTAATGATTATAATTTTATTCATTGAATTGAACACTAATAGATTGAAAATAATCATCTTTTTTATTGACCATTACTACTATTCTAAGAATTTAAAATACAAACAAATTCAAATGTAAAATGACCCAAAAGAATTTCTTTTAATTTTTTTTTTGAGAGAAAACAATATTAAATGAGTAAGAAAACATAGTTATAAGAGAATTTTTATTGATGCAAATATTTCATTGAATCAACCAACTTTAATACCAAGTTAATAAATGAGAAAAAAGACTATGGTTTTCATTCGAATGACAACAAATATAAAGAACATGAATTAAAATAAAATATATATAATTGATAATATAAATGATCAAACTAACATTTTTAAGATATAGTTAATATATTATAATAATAATAATAATAATAATAATAATAATAATAATAATAATAATAATAATAATAATAATAGTATTAATAATAATAATAATAATAATAATAATAATAATATTATTATTATTATTATTATTATTATTATTATTATTATTATTATTATTATTATTATTATTATTATTATTATTATTATTATTATTATTATTATTATTATTATCTAACAACCGTATCAAAGAATTATAAAAAATTATTATAACTAGATTAAGACTCGCGCGATGCGCGACTTTAAATTAGTTTGTTATTTTTTATTGAATTTTAAACAAATTAAGAGTTGGTTTTGACAAAATATGAATACTAAATTTATATTACAAATTTTATTTATGAATTATAATAGAGACAATAATATAAATTAATCACAAATAAATATACATTTCATTTGAAAAGAAAATACATGTGTGTAAATTGAGACTGATATCCGTAATTTAGGTTTAAAAACTTACATATTTATAAAGTGGTTTTTTTTAGTTTGTTTTGATTCTCATGTTTTTTTTTTTTTGCACTTATCTTTTATTTAGATATTTTACATTAATTTGTTAAATATATCTATTTACTTTAGTGTTAAATAAAATCAAAAGTTTATTTATTATTATTATCAAAAAAAAAACTTTCAATAATTTTTTAAAATTTATGTGTATTTTGTCGAACTTTATAAGATTGTTGTATACTATATTAGTTTTTAAGATCAACTTAAAGTAACTTATATTTGAAAATTATGTAAGAACTACTTTAAAATTAAAAACATTTATTTCAAGTGTTATTTTTATTGTTATAATTTCAGAAAAACAAAAATTATTTTATTGTGTTTAGATTTTGACATCTCTTTTATTTTTGAAATTTGAGAGAAATATTTTTAATATAAGGAAATATATATAGTTGGAGTAATGATTGACTTGTTAGACTATTTTTTCTAAAATAAACTAAAAAAAATTTATTGCGTTTGAACTCTCTTATATCTTTTGTGTAGTATTTTGTTATTCGTAATTGGTTTATTATTTGATATTATATAAAAAAAGTAGTAAAGTATATAGACACCGTAAAAATTATTGCGTACAATATTACATTTTAAATAAGTTTAAAGTGACTTATACTTGAAAATTATGTAAGAACTTCTTTAAGTTTAAAAATATTCATTTCAAGTGTTACATATATTGTTATAATTTCAGAAAACAAAAAATATTTTATTGTATTTGAATTTTCACATCTCTTTTATATTTGAAATTTGCATTTATCTTTTATTTAGATATTTTACTTTAATTTGTTAAATATATGTATTTATTTTTAGTGTTAAATAAAATTAAAAGTTTATTTACAATTATTATTAAATAAAACTTTCAATAATTTTATAAATTTATGTATATTTTATCGAACTTTATAAGATTGTTACATATTATATTATTTTTTAAGATCAAGTTAAAGTGACTTATATTTAAAAATTTTGTAAGAACTATTTTAAGATTAAAAAATTTATTTCAAGTGTTATTTTTATTGAGAGAAATATTCTTAAAATTAAGGAATATATATAGTTGGAGTAATGATTGGTTTGTCAGACCATTTTGTTTAAAATAAATTAAAAATATTTTATTGTGTTTGAATTCTCTTATCTCTTTTGTGTAGTATTTTGTTATTTGTCATTAGTTTATTATTTGATATTATATAAAAAAAAATTAGTAGTAAATATTATAGACATCATAAAAAATTGTTGCATACTATATTATATGTTAAATAAGTTTAAAGTAACTTATACTTGAAAATTATGTAAGAACTACTCTAAGATTAAAAATATATATTTCTAGTGTTACTTTTATTACTATAATTTTAGGAAAATAAAAAATATTTTATTGTATTTGAATTTTCACATCTCTTTGATATTTAAAATATGAGAAAATATTTTTAATTTAAGATAATATACATAGTTGGATTAATGATTGATTTGTTTGACCAATTTATTCAAAATGATATATTATTCCGTCTTTGTGACGGTTCGAACCCGTAACCTCCAATTTCTAAAAATATAAGATGAAAATGAATTTTGAAATGTGCCGCATAAGACTATAAGATGATGTGGTAAATATAGAGTTATACTTAACGATGTATTAGTTATAATTGATAATGTGTTGTTATATTATTTAATACATTAGATTTAATATATTATATAAATATAGATGTATTTGTATACGACATATATGACTAAAAAACTTTAAAATAGATTTACAAAATATTTGTACAATTGAAATAGATTACGAAATTATGATTTAGAATATCAATTTTACAAAATCTAAGAGGTAAAGTAGATTTACAAGATAACATAACTAAAACCTTTGTACAATTATAAATCAAAATTCCTATTATGCGTCCATATCAAGGAAATCAAGCATCATATTTCTAGCTAGTTCTCATCTTTTGTTTCTACTATTTCTTCTTCATATATCACCTCAATATTCTTCTTAAAAATCCTGGAGGATGATGGTGTTGCAAATCGGACTGAGAATGACCTTGAAAAATCATCATCGTTGGAATCACCATCATCAAAATTTTGTAAGTAAGAGCTAGGATCATATAGAAACACATGTGAAGATGATCTAAACATTCTCCTCTTGTTCTCTCTTTTGATCTTCCTCCACAATGTTTTCAATCTTGCTATCATTATTTTGCTAGAGTCATGGCTAATTCTCTCATAACTTGACCAAATGCAGTGGTTTCTTGAGCCTAGACAGTTGCAGTTTTCAAGGCCCATAGTGTATGGAGTAGATAACAAAAGAAGAATAAAATGGTTAAAGGAATGAATGTGTTTGGAGTGTATGTACTAATTAAGACTAAGGCTAAAGGCTATTTATATAGTGATGGCATCAACAACTTTTCTTTCCATTTTTTTAATCTCCTCATCACCACCTCAGAAAAGCACATACCTTATGCCAAATTGGACCAACAAAAAGATAGAAAAAACTTTTGGATAATGCAGCAAAGTTAAAATTTCCTTTTGATGTCAGCATTTCAAGTTGTTACAATGTGTTTTTTGAAAGCAATATTAAAAATTCTTTTTCATGTCAACAATCCAAGTCGGTATATGATATTTTTTTATAAAGATTCCCATAGTGATTAGTGACTGTAATACTACTTAGTCACATGGAGCATGACTTAATTGTCGAGTTACATTGGAGAAAGATGCACAATTAATGTTTCGAACACCTAAATTCACAAATAATTAATATCGAGTTATATAGGATCAATCCAACAACTTTAAATAATTTGAATTTTTACACACGATCAACCTCACAACATTATGCAAATACGTTGAACTTTTACAAATGTTCAACCCAACAAACTTAATCTAAGATTTTTGCAAGTTTATCTTGCAACTTTATAATCTATTATAAATCACAAGAAATCTATGCTCTTGAATAAACAATTTCAATACAAGAAAAAGACATCAAAACTCTCAGATGAAGCTTTTTACTCTCTCTGCACTAAGATAATGACCAGTGAATAAAGCATATAAAATAAGGAGAATATGAGAGATAGAAGAGTTGATAATTCAAAAAATTAGTGTATTGAGAAATGAAGAACGACCTCCTTTATATAGGAAAAAATTTGGCTCAAAAGGGCAACAATCCACAAATCTTTTGCACTTCCTAATCAACTAGAATACATGCCTAATCGATTAGGCTAACCTAGAAAAGAAAACCGTCATCTAATACATCATTGAATCGATTAACAATCATATCTAATCGATTATGAAACATTATTCTTGTTCTAATTGATTAGATAAAGGTCCTAATCGATTAGATATATGAGTTTTTTCTTCCAACTTAATTATAAATCTTCTTAATACATTACGTGCTTGTTTGATATCATTTTCAAAAAAATTAATAAAAATAAGAGAAATGAAAAAAATAATATTGTGAGTGTATGCATTAACTTAGTAAGAAAATACTTACTTTTGTTTGATTTATATTTAGGAGAGTTTTCACAACTTTAGTTTCTTTTTGATTTAGTTTTGATTAGATCTTTCATCTGGAATATGACTCAAGTCATGAAGGTGTGAAAAACACAAGAAAAGGAGAGGAGTTTGAATTGAGTTTTAAATAAACAACTTTTCCTTTTAAAATCTCCTCTAATAAAAAACAAGTAACTTCACTTATTGATAATAGTCATAAGATGCAAGAAAGAAAGAACAAGAATGTGTATACCAGTAATCATATAGATTATTACAATGCACAAGCTAATTGCAAGTGACTAACGTTACAACCTTTAAGACACATTAATCTTAGACTTCTCAAGGATTCTGACCAACTGGTCCCTTAAGGCAAATCAAACAACTGTTTGAACAAAGTTTGTTTACAAAAGATATTCTTCTAAACAAGTGAATGAGTAAACAAAATTTCAAGAATATAGACTTAAGAAATAAGAAAGCGTATGAATAGTCTTGTAAGAATGTGAATTAACAGCCTTCTCTTTTAGTCTTCAAGTCTTTTTATAGCCAATACAATATTATAACCGTTGTAGGGTATTTATGGAATTTCTAAAAAGCTGGCAGCTTGACTCAGGTAGGGTACAAGATCGTACACAACGTCCTTCCTTCATGGAATAATTTGTTTGTACCATGTACTTTTTTACCATGCAATCTTATCCTTTTTTCTTCTAACGTCATAGGCTTATGATCAAGCATGCGTTGGAAGAATGAGAAAAACACCCGAGTCTTTGGAACTTCAAGTCTTCAGAGTCTTTAGAGTCTTCAGATCCACGTCTTCAGAGTCTTCAACACTTGGTATTCAGAACCTTTTGTCTTCAGAAACATAAGTCTTCAGCATCTGGACTTGTTCATCAGAACTTATGTCTTCAGATCTTTCATAACTTGGTTTCTTGATCGTGTATCAGAGTCACTACTCCAAAGCCTTCTGAAGCATTTTTCTACTATTTATCAAAACTTGTGTAGCCCAGAAGCGGAACTTGTTCTCTTCTAATGTCTTGGAAGCGCTGTTTATCATAAGCAGAACATGTTTGTTAAATCTTAACAATAACAACCATTAGAATATCAAAATTGTTCATACAAACATACTCATTTGTTATCATCAAAACTTAGATAAAATTACATAACCAAATCTTGTTCTAACAATCTCCCCCTTTTTGATGATGACAAAACTATATATTTTGATGACACAATTTTGTACATAATCAGAAGAATTAAAAATAAGAAGGGTAAGAAATAATTATCCTTTATATGAAACCCCCCATGACTCGAACACTTGATGAAGATCATATATCTTGATTATGAACCATTTACGTAGAACTCCCCCTGGTTACACTAGATTATATATACGAATCTTGAGAGTCTTGATCTCAATCATGCCAATTATGATCTTGAAAATTTAGCATCATAAAGACAGATTCCAGATTCTTAATTCAGAGTCTGATTATGAACTTAAAAACTTCTCAGAGTCTGAATCCAAAAGTTACACAAAAGCCTTTAACACTTTCGGATCTTGATTCCAATCAGAGTTCATAATTCCTGAAAAGAAAACAATTCTAATATAAATAGAAGTGTAACAGGGTTAGAATGTAAGCATCTATTTTCAGAGACCTTTTCTAGAATTTGATTATCAGAATCAAAATATTACTTTCAGTTATTTACTCCCGGTTTTTGTCATAATCAAAAAGGTAATTATGTGTGAAAAACATAAAACAGAAGAAATAAAAGAAAAATAAGAAGTGATAAACGAAAATAAATTTCATTGAATTCAAGAAGGGAAAAACATTAGAAAGAAAATAAAACATGAGAAATAAAAAGTCCTAAGGTTCAGATGCAAAGGGAAAAATTCTAAGAATCTAGGGTCTAGGAGAAGGAGCAGGAGCAGACATCTTTTGCAGAATCAGCTGAAGCATATTCTAAACATTCTCATTAACAACCTTTTATTTGTTTATGCTTTCTATGAAGACTTGTTGTTCTTCTATAATCTCACCAATTTCATTTTCTAAATGCACATTGGCTGGATCAGAAGATGACACAACCAAAGCCTCGTGTTTTTCCTTTTCTTCCTTTTCAGCTTCTTAAGCCAACATGGCTTCCTTAACAATTTTGGCCTTCCTCGGACTTAAGTCTAGCTTCTTTTGCCTCTTGGAGTGCTATAGCTTCAACTTCTCTTTGCTTCTTAGCAAGGAGTTGGAATACTCTAATTCTTTCCTTTTCTTCCTCTCTTTCCGTCACCATCTGAGTAGCAGCAATTATGGATGCTTTAGAGAAGGTCTTCAGTCTTTCAAACTCAGAAGACATCCACTTCTGAAACAGCTTCCAAGAATCATCCAGATCCTGAGGCTTAGAGCTTGAGCTGGCTTCGTCTCTTAGCTTTGCAACATTCTTTCTAGCCTTGTTTCTAAACAAATTAATGCATTCATCCAGGGTTTTGGAACAGGATTTTCATAAACAATCAAATAAAGTTCAGAGGATATTGGTTCAGAAGTATTGAGTTCATATGGTTGTGGTTCAGAGGTTCGTTAGTCAACAAGATCAATGAGTTAAGAAACATTAAATTGTTTGTTAGTGGGGATTTCAAATGGGTTCGAAATGGTCATTTCAGACATTTCATGATCAGAAGTGGAATGAGGATCAGAGTGAATAATGGGCGAGTCAATGTAATTTGGGGTTGGGTTGAAAAAGGCGATTTGAAATAAAGATTGAGTAACTGGTGGTGGTGTAGGAATTTTAGATACGGGAGTAATGATGGTTGGGGTGAATGTATGAATAGGTTGTGATGAAATAGGTGTAGTGAGAGTTGAAATGGTTGAAGCAGATGCTTTTATTGTTGAAGGGAGTGTGGTGGTGGTAGGTTGAGATTCAGAAGTGGTGGTGGTTTGTGAAGAAGTAGAAACATTTGTGGTTAAAGGAATTGTTGTTGAAACAGTAGCAGATACAAGTGTCATATTGGTAACAGGTGTAGAAATAGACGTGGGGATGGTGGAACAGAAAAAGATGAAAAAGCGGATGTTTGTGTGATGGATGTTGGAATAGACGAGACAACATAAATAATATTAGAAACAATTTTAGAAACAGGTAAAGAAGTAGCAGCAGCAGACTTGTTGTTTCTGGATAAGCAGTTAGAGACACATTTTTAGATGTTCCATACTTCTTCTTCTTCTTTCCAGGTTTAGACGCTTCTTAATTCTTCTTCCTTTTACCTCTTGAAAAATCATCATACTCTTGAGCAGGAGGTAAATTTGAATAGTTTAAAATGGGCATATCATGTCCTTCTGCTTCCATCATCCTAACGTAGATAGCAATGCTAAAAATGTTATCTCCCTTGGTAAACAAAGGGTAGTTATTCACATAATTTTTTGTGATTTTGATGCTTTCAGAAGGAACAAGTAGAGGTTTAGAAATGACTTCATATATTATCCTCATACTCTCTAGAGTCTGTCCATTGAAGGAATCTCCAATACTGGGAGCCAAATCCTCTATAAACTTAGTTTCTTCAACCAAAGCTTTCACTAAGCCACTTTTTACCAAGATGTCAGAAATAAGATGTCCAAAAGGAATATAGTTTAGAACCTTCTTCTTATGATCATCAGTGGTTCTGGTCTTTATAACAGAGTCCCTCAAATAGTAAAATAGAAGAGACAAAAGACACATCCTCTCACATGTCATCAGATAGTATAACATGTACTTCTGATTGACATTGAAATAGTCAGAAGAGCTGGCAGGAGGTCTAAGGTTAATACAACTCAGAATAATTTTGTGCCAGA